AAAGTTGACTAGCAGCAAGTCTGAAAAATTGGAAAAGTCACAGTAAAAAAGATCATGTTGTCGGCATCAATCTGTACAAGAATGATATATCGGAAGAAAAGGAAGTTGACAACAATGTGTGAGAAAATCGAAGTCAATGTCCACAGCAAGCAGGCTGGCTGAGATTGTTTGAGGCTAGGTCGTCATCCAAGATATGGGGTGAAAAATAAACCTCGTGAGCTGGATTGATCGAATTAAATGAAACTGAGCGGTGGCTTTGCATCGCTTTTCCAAGCTATCCCTTCGATTCGGGAATGTTTGGGATGGGCCACCCAGCATTTTCCTGGAGTGTATTTCACAATCCCCTCTCCTCTGAGCAGCAAATCATTCGCTGCGGATTCGCCTCCATGAGTGACTTTTTGGCCGTGTCCATAGGCTTTGATCGTCAAAATGAGACCGCTGCGGTTCTTGGCCATGTTGGAAGCATTGAAGAGAACGCGTGCAGCTTCAGCAGCATCATGGGGCTCGTAGTTCGACAGTTCGAACGCCTGACAAAAATATCCCACATTGTGAGCATCATGCAGAATAGATCGCACAATTTCTCCTGCTTCAAGTATTGAAATGATGTTGCCCTCCTCGCTCACATGTGCCGCAAAAATGTGTTTGATAGGTGGTATGTTCAGCGCCTCTCTCCGTGTAGGAGGAAGAATCGGGGCGTCGCCCCTGCTCGCTAATGTGGGGATTGTGAGTAGTAGGAAGGAAAAGTGTTCCTCTTTGGTGTCCTCGCACCATTTTTTGTGGGTGAGAAGTTGTAGGTCGGTAAAGTGGGTGCTGTTGAGATGAGCTGCACTGAGCACTTTGGCCACATATGAAAGCATGGGTTCATTGTTGACATCAAGTGCTTGTGCGTAGCGGTTGAGCCATTGAAAGACCTCCAACTGTGCTGGATCTGTAGGTGGTTGGAATGTTGGAGGAGGTAGGTTGTGTGGTCGACGTTGGACTGGAATTGCAGGTATTGGTGCTGGTGGCGGTGGTGGAGGTGTCTGTTGTGTGGAGTGTTTGGGAGTGAAATGTGGGTTGGGCTTGAGTGTAATGCTGGAGGCACGGCGAGGTGTCTCTGGAGTGTGTTTTCCAGTAGTCGCTGTAGTGATATTTTGGCTGGAAGTGTGAGCATTGTCTTGGGTGATTGCTGGTGATCGTGATGTTTGTCTGTCTGCAGGTTTGGATTGAGCTTGAGAGCTAGCCACGGATTGTGTGGCGGAGCTCCGACGTCGTGGTAGTGGAGAGCGTGCGGTGCGCAGTGATCGAGTGCGGCTCCTGGATCTGGATGTAGCTTGTGATGGTGCAATGGAAGGTACGGCTGGAAAGGCTGAGTAGCGGTGGCGTTCGGGTGTGCGTGGTGGTGAGCGATCTGGGTCGCGCCAAATGCCTCTTGTAGTGCTGAGTGTGGGTGCAATGGATGGTGTTGGCTTGGTAGTGCGTGGTATGTGGTGTGGCGGCGGAAGCTGTGCGGGTGTGTTGATGGATGCTGAAGCAGGTTGAGAGGTCGCTGGTGAGGTGGTTGAGGTGTGAGGTGGTGGTGGTGGAGTTGGTGTAGTCAACTGCTGTGAAGTGATTGCTATTGGATCAGGTGGTGGTGCTTGTAGTACATCAGGTGCTTGTAGTGGTGGTGGTTGAAAAGGTGTTGTGGCAGGGGGTTGATTTGTCGTGTGTGTTGATGGATGTAGTTGATGTGGTAGATGTGGTAGATGTGGTTGATGTAGTTGGTGAAGAGGTGGTTGAGATTGAGATTGGGGCTGAAGTGGCAGTGTGAGATGTGTGTGAGCTGGGGATTGTGGTGATTGAGTTGTGAGATGTGGATGTTGTTGCGCAAGTTGGGTAGTGTCGAAGGGAGCTGTAGGTTGCACTGGAAAATGTGCCTGAAATTGATGTGATTGGATGTATTGAGCATGAGGTGGAGGTGTAATGGGCAGTGGGTAATGGTGTGAGGTTGGGTGTTGCGGTGGAGTGGGTGGCTGTGTTGAAAAAGGTTGTGGTGAAGCCTGTGGTGGAAATTGAATCCAATGAGGTTGTGGAGGTTGTGGTGGTGGATGAATGTGTGGCGGCAAAGAATAGGGCCAGGGATACGTCATGGCTGCTCGGCAGGTCAAAGACAGTGAAAATATGTAGGTATGTATCAATAAATAAATAAATAAAAGTCCGTGGAGTCGTGAAAATTGTGAAGTGTATTGAATAACCGCAATTAAAATTCTGGAAAATGGAATTAAAACTTGGAAAGTTAAAAAGATCTGAAAAGTTATGAATGGATTTCCCGGGTGAAACTCTTTCAGTTAACTCTGCAGTGGGATTCAGAGAGGAATTCAGTGAACTCTGCAGTAATCTTCACGTGTGCTGGGTGAAACGATCCAAGCTGATTTCGAGCAGGTCAAATTCAGTCAAAAAGGACTTCAGAGAAAATTCAGGAAACTTACTCCCTCGGTGAGGAGTGATCAGGTTCTTGCGGTAACGGCGCCCCGTAGGGATCACACAGCTCACCACAGTGGGAAGAAGCTGCGAATACACACTTGAGAAGGTTGCTCCGTGGAGCGTGATTTCAGGTAGCTTCGCGGTGTGCATTAGCCCTTTAGGTGAATACTTAGCCCTTGACTTGATTCAACGGAAAGAGGTGCAAAGTCCGCTCAATTGAATGTTTCAACAAAAAGCATTAGCTCTTTAGAATATGTTAAACAAGTGGTGCAGGTACAGGAAACTGGCCAAGTTTCCCTTCCCACTCTTATCCACAGCTTCGTTGCGTGTGATAGGATAAGAGTGTCACACGCCCCTGCTTCTGTACAGAAACGCTTGTAGGGTAGAGTAGAGAAACTAGGGTAGTGTCCTTGGAAACAGGAGTGGACACACACACACACACACCGATATTTTTGTCAAACTTCCCGCTCATTGTCATCCATTCATCATCAATCAATCCGATTTCGCCCACTCCGATTCTTGGGGCTCCTTTGTGAAGAACCTCCCCTTTCTTTGTTGGGTCATCGTTGTTCAGAGGCGAGGGTCATGCACGTCGGGTCTGGCTCAGTCTGGTCAGACATGACAGTTCCATGTCTGGGTGCATCGCCTAGCTTCGGGCCATGTTTATTTTCCCAAGGGGGATGTTTCCATGTCACGAAAGGTAGCGGTTACGCTACCTGAGTTTTCCTTTTGCTTTAGCAAAAATGTATTATACCCAGAGTGGAGCCTTTCTCACTGAGAAATGGCCCCCGACATGTTCGTTTGCTGGCCCGGGGGGTGACAGACCTGGGAGACAAATGAATAGAAATGCTACATGGCCAACGGAAAAGGGCGGACACCACCAATGACAGACCTGGGAGACACATGAATATTCAACTCCACCCTCGCGCGCCTCGGGGTCAACGGCTCGAAAACACCGCAAATACTAGTGTTTTCAGCTCTTCCAGTCCTCAACAGTGGCCGAAAACCATGCAATTTACAGCGTTTTTTGTGGCTGTCCGGTAAAAAGCACCGTTAAAGCCGATGGTTTTTGATGCGTATCGGTTTGAAAAATGACCGAAATATGACCAAAAACCAGGAAAGATTGTGTCGGAAAGGGTTTTTGAGGCTTTTGGAGGCTTCAAAATTGCACAAAACTATGGTATTTACATGGTTTTGTGCACCTTCCCGGCAGAAAACGCCGGTATTTACATGGTTTTCCGCGCTTTCCCAGCACACGACCGTGGTGCGCCTCTGGATCGATGGCTGCAAAGCACCGTAAATACTAGTGTTTTCAGCTGTCTTCAAGCATGGCCTCAAACCATGCAACTTACAGGGTTTTATGTGGCTGTTCGGCAAAAAATCGTAAAAACTGATGGTTTTTGACGTGTCTCGGTTTGAACAATTTCCGAAAAATGACCAAAAGCCAGGAAAGATTGTGTTTTTTTCGGCTTTCGGAGGCTTCAAAATTGTTTTATACCACGGTATTTACACGGTTTTGTGCGCCTTCCCGGCACAAAACCCCGTAAATATCGATGGTTTTAAGCTATGTAAGCTTGAAAGTGGCCACAAACTTGGCTGATCCAAACACACAAGTTCGTTTCTCCCATACAACCTTTCACGTAATATCAATGGTTTTAAGCTATGTAGGCGGTTTCTCTCCACACGCAGTGCTGCGGTACCTTTCGTTCACCCCCTTCCTCTCTCAAGTAAAAAATCCTTTGCGGACAAATGGGCTTTACACCTACTCACTGGATGGGTTTTTTTGAGTCCCACCACGCAACTGGTGCAGGAACTCCGTCTTTGTTCCGGACGGCGTGGCTGAACCAGGTGTGCAGGTTGGTGTAACGGTGTAACGATGGGAACCGCCGGGGAACTGCCATTGGTTCTGACCAAAGAAGGCAAGGGTGGCGACCTTCGAGGGAGTGCCAAGCCTCCTTGGCGAGCCTGAGATGTCAAGTTGGGCGACGTGAGTGAGTCACATCGGTATTGAGCCAGTGGCGAGAAAAGGATGGCATTACTGGAGGGAGAGCATGCGAGGACGAGGAGGTACTACCCGAGCCATTTCTTGAAACATAGGGATGCAGGCATGGTCAAGCGAATAAGGCCATCATTGGTTCCAAAGCTGCCAGCGAGAACCAGTTTTCAGCCGAGACTCATGCCGTACTCGGCAGCCATTCACAAGGACCACTTCACACTCGCAAAGCCGGAGTTCTTCGACTTTCACGTGAAAAACAAGTGGACCAAACCTTCAGATAGTGGACCAAACCTTCAGATGCGGATTCTTGTTAGGGGTACACTGGGTAAGTTAAACATAGAACCTCTGAAAACTGCACTGTTTGCAGACAAAACTCGTCTTCCAGCGGTCCATGTTCTATGATATGTTCTTTTTTTCTTTGGTGGTTATTCGAGGGAATATACAACTTAACTTTCCATAACTTTCCAGTATTCAAGTTATAAGTTCAAATGTACAATGATTTGATGTTTGAAGAGTTTACCTGTCGGTTCTATTCTTCAGAATCTCCGACTTGCACTAGGCCTCTGGACCTCGCAACGACAGCTACCTTGCGAACCTCGCCGACACGAGGTGGGGCCGCGTTTCGGGGCGTCGAGGCTCTGACCCCGAAGGTGACGGTGGATTTCACCTGTTTCGGAGTCGGTCCCCACGTCTTCTTCGAGTCCATGGTTACCCTGCTAAACGCCGCTCATATTACCCAGACACTCCATGGGACTGCCATATATGCCTACATTGGGCCCTCAAACCACCCTGGGCGCGGGATGCTGTTGCCCGTGTTTCTTGGAGCATCTTTGATCCCAGCCGGTGCGCATGTTTGTCCCGGGTGTCCCCCGAAATCTTCGAGGTCATGTCGGGTTGTTTGCAGGTTAGACCTGGACCTTTTGATTGAACATGCACGCCAGGCTTATCCTTGCTGCATCCTGCAAGCCAAACAGGATCATAAACAACTTTAACCCCCCCACACACCCACAGCGTGGAATGTGGAAGTCTCACTCTTATGTCCTCAATTGAAGTTAATGCTTCGAGGTTCTGATGGCCTCTTCTTGGACACGCACACACACACACACACACACTAGCACCTGCCCCAGGCGTGCCCTCGACAGATCCGCTGAGACGCTGGTGAGACAGGAGCCCGTGGTTTTGTGCACCATCCTGGAGGCAACATGCATTAAAACAAGGAGCTCTCCTAAAGACTCCTGGAAGAAGGGAGCTCACAGGCAAACCATTTTCCCAGTTATTACCAAGTCCGTGGGATGCCCGGGAGACGCCGGGAAGTCACAACTTGCAGATCTGCCCACTTCTCAGAATTCTTTTTAGCCCTTCATAACCTTGGAGAGGTGTAGTTTCTAGTGGATGTCAGTATCTTCATGCATATCGGTCTGCAGGAGAGGAAGCTTCAGGAGGTGCAGCAATCAGAGATCATTCCAGAAGCGGTTGGGAGCCTCAGGTGGGCATTCTCACGCAGGTGCTTCAAGGAAGAGTCCAACTGTTCAGCGAAAAAGACTTGGAATCATGGGGTATGACTCAGCATGACAGGATGACTTCACCTTGGCTTTGGGGGGATGGTTAGCGGACATTTTCCATATATAATATAGATTGGGCACGTGCCACATCCCCTCTGATTAGCAGGTAGCCTTGAGAGAGAGAGAGAGAGAGAGAGACGTGGAAACCATGGTCATAAATAGGCTCGTTCGGGCCTGAGAATGAAGACTGGCTTAAATCCAGCAAATGAGCATCAGCGCTGCAAAGCACCCCCTCAAAACCCACCAAAAACCGCCTACTTTTTCCTCAAGACTGGTCTCCCATCTGTCAGAAGCACGCTAGGATCCTTGGTCCTGGGAACCTCTTCCGCCACCCCATCGGTGGCATCTCGGCATCGGGCTGCAGGGTTGGAGCTTTCCATTGGGAACCCGCTTAGCCTTCACCAGTGGCTTGGAGGACCCCCGGCTCGAGCGGTGGGGATCTACCAACGGCAGCCTCCCACCTGAGCTGCAGGTGGCTCATGGTACTGGATGAGCAATGCTGGCTGTGTCACAGTCATCAACCAGGCTACCGACCCGTTGGCCCACCTGGTGTCGACCGAGGCTAAAGGTGTTGACCCATCCCCAAAATGCAGATTAATGTCGACGGTTGCCTGTTGCCTGTTGCTTCACCAGCTGCGATTCGGAGGGAGCGACCGCCATAGGACGAGCTGCTGCGATTCGGAGGGAGCGGCCATCGGGGGTATCCATTTTCACCCATCAGACGCCCCGGGTCGCGTGAACATCGCGGGAATCAGCGGGGCCAAAAGGTTCGGAAGTCCTTTTGGAGCCTCGGTCGACGGGTCGACAGCGAAGTCTCGAGCTCGGAGCGGAGGACTTTGTGTTTGGGAGCGGGGCAGCTGCTCTGGACACCCTGACCCTGCTTGCCGGCTTCAGGCGAGGGCGATTGGGTGCCAGGTGTCTTCCACTCACTAGCGGTGATGGAGCTTGTGGTATGGCCATGGATGTGCACTGATTGGACTTGAAATGGACGGCATGGCCGAAAGGACGACCATTTTCTGAAGGCCTACCCAGCGAAACCCACTTCCATTTTCTGATTCCACGGATCTTTTGGCATGTGGGGTCTGTGGACATGTCGGGCGAACGTGAGCCCCGCGCTCCACCGATCCAAGGCCCTGGGATCCTCACCCCTTTAACCAAAGGGACCAAAGGGCAGCTATTCTTAGACAGGGTGTGACAAGACGAAAGATCAAGCGATTCGGAGAGATGCAATAGTGACGCAATCAGGTGCACTTGCACCTCTAGCAATTCTACACGGCGTGCTTGTACACAAGGCCTCCCCAAGCGAAAGCGATCATGCAAGTATACTGTACCTCAAGATAAGCCTTGCAGCCTCAGGCAGTTTGTGCTTGACACACACACACACTCACAGCTTGAGGCGTCCTTTGGACGCAGATGCATGTAGAAGATCTTGTGGTGTCCGGTGGCCTGAGGAAGTGTTCTACATATTGACACCAGTGCCAGTGACAGGCCAAACATACTTGGATGATCAGGCCACTAACACTGCAAGTCTATGCAGTCTACGACCTGAACCCTGAAGGCCAAACAAAAACGTCTCCGGCCAGGTCCCTTTTCAGACAGCTCAGGCAGCTCTGAAAGTCTAACACTCCCTGAAACAATCATGGAAGTGGATGGCCTGATGCCTTGGATGACCACGAAATCCAAATACAAACCGGTGCTGAAATCCACTTCCACCATCCATGAGGGAAACAGATGACAATTCCAAGCTCCAACAAGATGCCAAATGTTTTGGTGCAATTCTGTGCTATGTTTCGCCATCATGCATACATCAGCCAGGTACAGCATGGTGTCCATTTGGGTGACCGCGGAGTTCAAGTTCGGCTTGGACCATGCCCTGGTGCGCTCCTGCCAGCGACTGACATGAAGCCCACTTTTCTGGGCATGGCACATGCCGAAATCCAGCAACGGGTTCCTTAAACTGCAACACTGTGACTTATACAGTCTTTCGCTAGTGGGAGTTGGACCTGGAGACGGTTCTGCTTATGTTGACCAATAGCCTTGGCAGATCAGATCTGTTGTAAACCAGTCAGGCTCAGTCGTTCGCGCCGGGGAACGCCCTGCAGCGACTTACCATTTTTAGCCCCGGTACGGTGCCACGTGCGAAGGACCGACGGACGGACGGGGCCGGGGCCAGGCGGTCCTGAAGTTGGCCTCTGCCAGCGTGAGCCGAGACACCTGCGACAGGACCGAAGGGACCGGGTCACCGGTCCGGTCCGCCCGGCGGAGCCGAGGCGGTTGGGGCGGAGCCGGCACTGGTTCGGAGCGGTTCGGACCCGCAGAAAAGGCAATGAAGGAGTTCTTCCATAAATCGTCCAAACTACTCTTAGCATCTATTGATGCCAACTACTACTGGTACTTGGGACGTTCTCTTAGTCTTTTTCATTGGGACGCATTCCATAGCAACCAAATCCCATGAGTGGCTTTAGACCCTCACGCCTACGAGGCCTAGAACCGTGCCCCAGCCACGGGACGGCAGCGGAAGATCTCCTCCCCGTGCACCGGAGGAACACCTACGATGTCTCAATGGACCTGGTGCGATCCTCCTTGCAGCTTGGAGTTGTGGGGGAGTCAGTTATTCTCCCCCCTCCCTCCCCTCCCTCCCTCCCTCCCTCCCCTCCCTCCCTCCCTCGCTCGCTCGCTCTCTCTCTCTCTCTCTTTCATATTTCTCTCCGACACAGGGGCAACCTCCTGCATGACCCCCCCCCAAAAAAAAACACACAGTTGTTCCACCTCTTACATCTACAAGCAAAATAGCATCTTTCTCTTGAACTGGAGTCCGCCTTTTTTTGTCCTTTCCTTGGTTCCCAACCACCGGTTTTGATCTGGTGGAGCACCACTTGAAGATGCCTTTGAAGAGAGAACATTCATGAGGTTGGCAACTGGCCAAAACCGGGTGCTGGGCACACTTCAGGCTTTCCCAGTCTGCGATCTATGAGCCATCGGTCTTGGCAGATGGAAGGCGTGTGGACATGGAAGCACCCGAAACCGCGGACAAAGTTTTTTGCTCCCTCTTCAAGGGTTTGAGAACTCAAGGGTCTGGGATGCCTCACATTCTCCAAATGACTTGGGAACAGCTGCCGAAGACAGTTTCCTTTTTTCTTAAACGGTTTGAGACCTCCATGGTTTGAGACCGGGTGGTGGATCATTCTCCAAATGCTTTGGGATGCCGGGTTTTCACGCCACCGTCGAGCAACGCACAGGTGGTGCTCAATCTCAGTCAGACTTGGATCATCTTGGATGTCCATACGATGCAAAATGGGTCTTTGTGCATCATATTAATCGATTTGGTGGACATTTCGGGGCCCAACAGAATGTTATACAGATGAAAACACACCCAAACGCTTCATCGACTTGGTGGTGTCGCTTCCAATACTTGTCTTCAACCTTCACGTTCATTCCCAATGAGCGACCAACGTCGTGCTGAAGCCACCAGCCAGCTTCAGGTTGAACGTCGCAGAACATAAAAACCACTTGTGAAGCAGACGATGTTTCATCAGCACGCGGCAGCTGAAAGCGCTGCCCTGGTCCAAGATAAGTGCACTGTCACGGAGTGCCCTGGTCCGCGCAGGTTGTTGCAACTGATGACTCTGACATCTGATGCAACTGTGATTGGCCAGCAAGTCTTGTTTCCGCACATCTCCTTCATGCACGGCGGCGACGTGGATTTGTAAAGTAATGTTTTGATGATGGTGTGATCCTTGTGCACATCCGTGTGTCTACCTTTGACTACACAGCATGCACATAAAACTTCTGATACCTGTTTGATACGAAAGTGCTACCTGTTGTCCTTTTAACTTAAAACACCCAGGCTGTAAGTAGAGAGGTGCATTATATGCAGTTGTTTCCTAACTCAACAGTGCGAGGCAGGCACGTTATGTGGACTATTTCAGTTTGGTTTCTTGATTTGTGGTTGTAGTCGCAAGCAAGCCAAACCCAGGATTAAGCTTCTTTCTTTTTCCAGATGTGTATGGAAGCCATTTCAGAGCCATTTCCATCTCAGTTGGCATTCCGCCATAGAAGAAGACCTACCCATCCTTCACCGACCTGGGGCAGACGGCGTCACATCCCAGGTTACTACCAGCTTTGCTACAGCCCGGATGGCACTATGGATGAGACTCTCAATGCCTTAGTGCCCGTCCGCATCCGGGTCATTGGGGTTGCCTCAGAGTGCCTGGGAAACGGTTGCCTTGCCAGAGAGAGAGCCTTGGCTGGCTCCGCAGGCCGCGTGGCTTGCGGAGAGCCACGTGCAGCAAGGTGCAGCCAGGTTTGTTGTTGTTGTTTCTTTTTTGCGGGTGTTTGGCTGGCTGGGCTGCAAACTGGTGCAGGTTGAAGAAGTTCGCCATGAGGTCATGCGGACTTTTTGTCCGTGTGATTCCAGGCGGAGGTGTCTGGGCTCGGCTTGCTGGGGATGCGATGAGGTCATGCAGCTTTGATCCATCCCCCCGCCTTACACGATCAGATCCAGAGACCCCTTCCACAAGACGATCCGGAGACCTCTTCCCCACAAAACATGGGAAAAATAACATGCAAGCAATCTTGCCCCAGGCTTCCAGAACCATTCAATCATGGTTGACCTGGTGCTGCAGTCCAAAATCCTTAGTCAAACCATGGTTGTTCGGCAAAGAGTCATTTAATCATTCAATCAGGTTGGAAGTATAGGCCATGCAGATCCCAAAACCGCAGCGGTTGAGTCTACTCACCTGCTGAGTCCGGGTCGCGGCTTTGCCCGCCTGGCCCCCGGCCCCCAAACCCTAGATGGACCCCTATATAAAAGACATCGGGTGCCAGTGCCATTTACTCAGAAACCACTGTAGATGTCGACTACCGGTCTGCGCCTCGTCGGCCCCAAGGATGGGATTGCTTCGTGTCCTATCGGGGCGAGGCTGCGAGCGTTTGCATGGTGGACTTCAGAACGTTCGGAGGTGGCAGGCCTGGATGGTCCGTGCCTTCGTCCGATCAACCAGAGGATGGAAAGGAGCCTGTGAGAAGAGACAGGTTCTTGGTATAGTTTGTGGCTGTACAGGGCATCTCAGAGGCGTTGAACGCCCGCGAGTGCCAACCCCAAGTGTGGTTCCCTATAGTCTATAGTCTATTGCGAGTGCATTTTGGGTGTTCCCTTTGAACCCTCTTGGTGGATCTCTTGGAAAACCCCCGTGACCTCACCGGGTAGGAACGCCGCCCGTCTCGCCTCTTCCAACAGGGACGCGTCGCCCGCGGTCGGAACGCCGCCGCCGCTGGTGCTGAGGTGGAGTCGGCCACCTACAGCAAATCCGCCTGGAGCGCCCTGTGGGGCAGCGACAGTTCCATGCAGCGACGCGAGACCACGCGGATGTGGCGGGGAGCGTTTTGGGGCGCGAGGTTGGAGGCCATCGCTAGTAGGTTGGAGCTTCTCCACACAACCGGCGGTGGTGCTGGGCAGTCGTTTGGGAAGAGCGAAGGGAGGAAGCGTAAGTCCAGAAGTCGCACAAAGAAATTGACTTCCCAGCGAAAAAAAAACTGTGGCCCCGCGAGACTTAAACTGACCCTGGGATCGACACCCAAGATCGAAGACACCCAAGATCGAAGCCAGCACAGGCTGGAGAAATCATCTGACCCTGGGAGACCCTGGGAGACACGACTGCACGAGTCTGCCGTTCATCCGCCGTGATGCCAATGCGAAAACGGCGCGTTTTGACTCGCCTTGACTCGCCTCAGGCTATGTGGCCGGGGTCTATCAGCCTGGAGAGATGAGGAATTGTTCCGACGTGGCCACTGGGGAGTGGCTTGATGGAACGGTCGGGGGGGGGGGGGGGCTTTAGTGGCGCCAAACGGCCGCCTGGGCTCCCAGACCCAAGGTGCAAAGACATGAACCGAAGCAAGAGGAAGATCGAACACTTGAAAGACTGGGGGCTCGATTTTTTGCCACAAAAAACGCCTGCAGTTCTATGAGGCAAGGCAACGCAACCAGCTGGACCCAAGTTGGATGGAGGTCAACCTCACGACAGGGGCTCACAAGCTGATGGCTCACCATCACTCAACTGATGAGCAGGAAAAACACCTCGAGAGGGTCAGGAAGAACAGCTCGAGGTACATCTCACCGGAACTGGAGATCTTTGAAGCCTTCAACTGGGAGCCTCAAGAGCCTTGAGCCACAAGCAACGCGACGGCCAGCGACGGCCAGACACGGGACCTCGGGCGGTGGCTGTTTGGTTGAGAGTTTGTGGTGTGGGGCTTGGTGGAGTTGGAGTTGGCCGCCTGGGCGTCCTGTGACCAATTCCCACCACGCGGGTCCTGTATATCCTGCATGGTCCACTTAGAACGGGGTTTCCATCAACGGGAAAAATGACTCAGTCAACGGAGGTTGGGAGTGCCATGGGGCCATTGGTTGCTTCGACTAATCCTTGGTTCCACCTTACACTCAACGTCCCGTCCAACGGAAGGTGGGCCAAAGCAGAACATGCTCATGCCAATGTTCTTAAAGTAGCATATACATAGTCCCTCGCAGCTCCGCCACGCTGCCCAAATCCCTTGTTCCAAGCCGCTGCGAGCCCAGAAGTTGTTTGGACCATACTATATTCAATACTATTCACTTGGAGGTGCTTCAGAACCCGAAAACATTGCCCGCTTCGCCCATGGCTCATCAAATGTGAAAAAACATTGAAGAAACCCTGGGCCTGTGGGAAAAGCACCTATATTCCGATGTGTATTTCACTCGGCAAACCTCGACCGTGCAAATGTGGAATGACCCAAAAACACCGGTGACAGTGGCAAAAGCGGGTTGCTCGAGAGTTGACTTAGCCAGTCAATTGTGGTTTGTCTTTGGTGTTGGTTCTTTGGGCGGCATATGACTTTCTGTTCGTTTGTTTTATTCTTGTGCAGGAGAAGCTCTTTCATAAGGCAGGCTTCTTTCCCATACACTGAAACATCCTTCCGTTAGATTCGTTAGATCATGCATCCCATCACTCACATCTGATCTTTGACGGCCGATGTGGCGGGCTTTGCTGCCGCAGCGCCGCACCATGTGTTGGTTGGATGGTTTTTGGTTGTTCTTTTTCTGTGGATCTGTTTGGATGGCCCTAGCTTGGGGTGTCACGACAACCTGAGGATAAGGTAGGCTTCATCACTGATCCCACCAACGCGCTGACGATGCCCAAGTTGAAGGCCTCCAGGGCCACTGAGAGCTACTCACTTTCGATCTGCTACTGTCCCAACTATGATGGCCCTGTCGATGGCACCGCGGAGCCCTGTGATGAGGCGCGGCGTGACTCGCTCTCCGCGTTTCGTTCGAACGCCGCGGCGCGTTCCGCGTCAGCGCGGTCTCGCCCGGTGAGAGAAGAGCAGGCAGAACATGGTCCATCCATTGGCCGTGCCATCCACTTCGGACGATGTCGGGGAGTGTATATCAGGGGCATCCAGCAAAGCAGCTCGGGGGTCAGAAGAGGAGTCGTCCAGGTTCTGACAGCCACACGGTCTTTGGAATGGGCGTTTTCGGAATGCAAGGAGTTGGAATGGAGCATGGCCGATCTTCCTTGGCCTCGGTTTTGCATGGCCTTAGGAGTTTGGAATCGAACATGGACTGTGCTCCATGGCGGATCTTCCTTGACCCGTCCACGCCGGAGTGCCGGATCCCTCTAGGCATCGGAGTATATTCAGCCCGTGGGTGTGGTCCATTACTGGCTGGTGCGAGTGTGAGACTTGGGCCTGATTTTCGGTGGAGGAAATGATCCCGGTGAAGGTTCGCCTGGGACCCGGTAGGTGCTGAAGACCAGGTGCTTCGCACTCTCTGCCCTTTTTTTTCCCTAATCCAGTTCCCACAGGCCACATCCAGTGAATCCTGCTGAGGATGAACATAGGCCGTTTTTCAGGGTTGCGCTTAGAATCGCCCTGCAAGACGATTCTCAGTGGCCTGCAGAAAATTCAAGAGGATTGCAGGGCCTTCAGGTGGTGGTTTCAGGTCTTTTCTTTAAACTTGGGATTGGACCCACCGACTCATTTGTGTCCAAGGGAAGTTGAAACCACTAAGAAGGCGGCTGTGAGGCACCTCCCCCAAACCATGGTAGGGTGACATAGTTCATTTTCGGTGGTCAACCAGGTGCCCAAGTGCAGGCCTCTGAGGCTGAGGCTCCGCCCATCCCCGGATTCTCCGCCCATGCATGACATGTTCCCAAAGACCCTCCCTCCAACAGAGCATGGGCGTTTGCAAAGGGAAACTCAGCGTTGAAGTTCCAAGGGTCCCACGATGTTCCACATCCATCCATGCTCGGATGATCTGGGTTTCGTCTGAACATCCCCACTATGTGAGGCGGGTCGGCGCTGAAGTTCAGCACATGGATCAACCTTTAGGCATTAGCCTTTTTCCCTATCCAGGACAAGTGGATAATATAACTTTTAAGCTTTTTTTGGGATCGGCTTCCCAACTGAATGTGAACAAAGGGTAGAATTACAGTATATACGGTCACCTCATTGTTCAAGGGAAACTGAGGGAGTCAGTCTCTCTTCCTTTGATTTTTTTGTCCAGTTCCAATGTGCCGAAATGAAACTCAGCAGCCGCAGTGAAGGAGGAAGGTGACTGGCCTTTTGATGTGTGGAATGGCTGAGCAGGAGTCGGTGTCTAAATCCCGGTCCCTACAGAAGAGGGGTGGTGTTCAGCTTTCTTGTTCCACTGCCTTGGGGAGCTTGAGCGGTCCTTTTTCGTGTTTTGGTTCCATAAGTGCCATGAACAAGGCTCCCAGTTCGGGTCAAACCTCGTCTTGGTGGGTGGATCGGTGGATCCATTCCGATCCCCAGCCACCCCATCACTGGGCGGTGGACAGGGGCGAGGACGGGACCGAGGCGATGCGGAGAACGCGGGCGGCTGTGGCGTCGTGGTGGAGCCCTTCATGCGGATCTTGCCGCAGCAGCCGTTCTCGCTCCGGCTCCAGTGTCCCCCCGGCGGCACGAGCTGCAGTGGAACGGGCGAGCCGCTTGGGCGTGTGTTTTGGACACACCGCCGCTGCTGAGGGCTTGGGGCACTGAGAGCCTGGTTTTTGGGATGCTCATGAGCACCCGAAAGCCACCCTTCCAATGGTCCTGGTGTTGCCGAAGTCCACCTTTTGAGTGGTCGGGAATGGGTCCGGAGTGGGAACTGCGGAGGCTGAGTGGAAGTCCCAGTTCAAGTAAGAAGATGTCTATTGGCGTCCATATGACCTGCAGCAGTTACTGCAACAAGAACATCACGACCTGTTTGAACAAGGCCTGCAACCAGGCCTCATCATCCACTGTGAACTAGGGAGCTCGGGATGCACACGGACCCTCTATACCCTGGACCCGGGTACCCGAAGGAAGGGACCACTCTCGCTCCAGGTAGTGCTGATGGAAAGGATCCTACGACCACTCGAGCTGTACCTCTGTTTGAGGCATTCGTTCGTAGGACTATGTCATGCTGGCAATTGCCCTAACCCTGCAGGCTTCTGCCCGGTGACTTCTAAAACTTACAGTAAATCTGGGGAGACTATGTCAGAATCATCATCACACAGCGATGCTCCCAACGCAGACATGGCAAGCAAGTCCATGTCAAGCAGCAGCAACAAAACTGGAGAAGAGTTGCAACAACCGCTGGTATTTACTATATACCGAAAGTTCAGCGCATTTCTGCGAGGAAAACACTTGGGTGTGCATGAAACGCACGCGGCTGTGCATCTTCTCCCGGACTTTCACTTCTCCCCAGTGGCGCCTGCCCCGACGAGGAACCGTGTGAAGTTCCTGCCAGCCTATTGCCCCTTGTGCTCGCTGAGCGCTGTGCCGGAACCGGTGCCCTTGTGGGACCCCGGCTCGCGCTGCCGCTCCGGCGACGACGACGCTAGGCTCAAGTGGACTGGGCACATGCCGCGTGTGGAAGTCGTGGACTGCACGTGGGTTGGGCCGATGGGGGAGGACAGACAGACTGGGCTTGAGCAAACTTGAGCAAAAAAGGCCAGGCCTGCGCAAGGCCCAGCGCAGGGGCCTGGGCCAGGTTCGGTCTCGTCGGATGGATCTGAACGCGTTGACGATTTCCGTTCGTTCCTAGTCCACGCATGGAAGTGTTTACACATCCTATGTAAAACCACGGGCTGGAAGTATCAGTTGGGCTCTTCTTGTCAACGAGCCGCGTGCTGACGCATACCACTGGCACGTTGGAAGGCACTGCACACTGGGTTCGCTCCACCACTCGCAGGTCGAGGGACGCACCCAGGCACCCCCAGAACACGCAAGGACTCCATAAGACCCCGCAATCTACACCTGGGAAGATTAACATGGAACCCCAAAAATGGACCTTTGGAAGACTATTTTCCTCTACAACCCAGTGGTTGTCAGGTTCCACGTTAATTTTCCCGCAATCTATGTTGAAGATTCAAAGTGCTTTGCTGCTGAGACACTCCAAGGAAATGGGACGAAATGGAAGTGGTTGAGGTTCCAATTGAACCATGAATGCACAACGGAGTTGCGGTTGAAGATTGGATCGTAGAAAAGGAAGAGCAACCTCAGAATCGGTTCCAGGAGTCTGTGCGCACAAGTCTGGGTTTAACAGTAGGCACCGAAAGACAAAGTTCAAACATGAGCCTTCATGAGACTTCGTCAGCAGGGGTTGAGGGCTCTTGCAAACCCAACGGCTGCACAAGGTCCATGTGACGTTGGGAGTCAGGCACCTGAATCCACTGACGAAGCTGTTTTGGTCAATGGCGCCATGTTTGCGCTGTGAGTCTTCACATGGGCAGAGCACAAACATGGGGCCAGGGCACATGTTGTTGAAGGAAGAATTGGACCACACTCTTAATATAGCTTCTTTACAAGTCCCTAGGGCTCCAAGTACCTTCTGAGAAGGTGTTTGAGGTGGGTTTGGAGGGTCCAAATACCTTCTGAGGAGGCACTTGGAGCCCTAGGGAGTCCTTTATTCTTAAGCCACCCATGCAACCATGCAACCTCCGGCCCAGTACTCTCTTTTTGGCAGGAGAGTGAGCGCTTGGTCTATCACCCCTTCCTCTACGACGAATTTGGCGTCTTGATCGACCCGGGTTTGTACCGTTGGGGGGGTGATCGCCAAGACTACAAGTTCTGGGAAACTCCGAGCCTGGTCGGCCACTTGGTCACAGTGGGGGTGGGGGCGCAGCGAAAAAGGGCGCCACGGGGCGGTGTCGCAGACCCGATTCGCCGCATGCTCGGCTGGAGGCCATCACTAGTAGGTTGGAGGCCACCGCTCTTAGGTTGGAGGCATCGCTCTTCGCTTGGAGATGTTGGAGGCCATCGCTAGTAGGTTAGAGGCCGTCGCTATTAGGGTGGAGGCCATCGCTATTAGGGTGGAGGCCATCGATCATCGCTAGTAGGTTAATACGTCCTGCCAGCAGTTCCACAAAGAATGGTTTTTTTGGTCCCTAGGCCCATCCAGTGAGTGGATGTGACAGGGGCACTTCCTCCGTTCGCTCGGCACAACATGGAACTGCTGGTGTATGTGAGTTGGATTCGCCCTGCTCGCCGGTTCGCGGCTGTTCACGGCTCAGCATGCGGTTCACGGGGATGAAGATGGTCATTTTGTGTGGCCTGAGTGTTGCAAGCAGTTGCAATCAGTCCACGCGGCATTCATGTATCATTGCCTGCTACTTCGTCTCACTGTGGGCGTGGCGCCGCGGCACCACCCAATAACCACCCAAAAACCGACAAATACCAGGGAATTCCGCGGCCGAAATCGCGTGGGCCTTGCGGCAGAGTGCTGAGGCAAACTCCCCATGAGCGATCGATTGATGGTGTGCTACTGTGACACTGAATGCTCTTTGGCTCAATTCGGTGGACGTCGGTCGTCGTCCCCAAAACAGAATAAAAGCGTTCATGCACGCTTGTGCCAGCATTCTTTTCGATCCTTCAAATACACATTGTAGGACGGGACCCTTCATCCATTGGTTTCTGCTTGGGACTGAGTTTCCATGGTTTTGAGTGTGTTGTGTGGCAGGTAAAGGGAGAACGCCACATACCCAAAGTACCCGTGATCCCTCAGCCTGAAAGCCCGCCACTGGTGACACTAACTGGAGAAGTGCACAGCCATTGAACTCCTGAAGGGCCCACATACTGCCTCGACGAGACGGAACTCTTGCATCTCTCTATGACCCATCCCTTTAGACCCTGTACCTGGATCCTCCAACTGTGCAGAATTTCTGCACCGGCGAACGCCAGCTTTATGGATGAACAGTCGTTGGAAGATCCAGGTCCATAATATAAGATGTTGGTTCAAGTTCCCCCTGTTTGGCAACTTGGATTTAAAAAAAACGCTAACGGATGTCCAATCCACCTGTTTTAGTCCACTCAGTTTCTTTTTCTCCTTTTTTGGTATTCATTCGGCACCTGCTTTTGGTCAAGACGGACGGTCCGTCCGAGCTTTCCATGGCGACTACCGCCCCCGTGAGAACTCACGGACGGTGCGGTGGACGAACGGCTCTAGACGGAGCCGGCGGAGCTCTAGCCCGCGATCTAATGGTCCTTTTTGGACGGAGCCGGCTACAAGACCAGATGAATCCCATCATATTGTACAACTATATAAGGATTTTACACTAACCCAAGAGAGGTTGAGAGACCTTATAAGACCCTGTAGTGGTACATATGGGACGGGCTATGAGGCTCTTCAACCTCTCTTGGACTAGACCAGGTCGTTCAACTTCCCATTTTTGAATGATTCCATGGTCGGTTCTTCTCCTTTACATGGAAGACCACGAACGGTCGACGGCGGTGGGGGGGTCCTCGCGCGTCGCGGTGCCTGCAGCCCGGCGAACTCCACGGAACACACGGAACTCCACGGAACCAAGCGGTTGTCACTCAACCACCTGCGTGGTATTTGGATTAATGGTCACCCTTGGCACTTGGATGAATCATCGCCTGTCATATGGCAGGGTTGATTCATCAAAAGTCTAGATTCTACCTACATTGGAGTGGTTCCCGAGCCGGGTTCGAGCAGAAGGTCTCAAGAAAGGCCAGGAGGTCTCCCCATTGAGGTGGTCATGACACACCCACCTGACTGGAAGTCATTTCATCCAGAATCTCCAGGAAACACCTCTTCCTTCAGGAATTGATTTGATCCATATTTCAGAACCACATGTTCGTCCAACCTGATGGACCCTAGGAAGTCATCTCCGCCGAAATTCCTACCCACCTCTTCCTTCAAAAGATTTCCCAGAAGAGTCTGGATGACTTCAGGTTGGAACTTCTACAACTTCTTCGAGGTTGGCGAGATCCACCTGGCGGACTCCGCAGGGGTTGCCAGGCGTGGAGGGGGGGAGGTGCCTCCGCCAGAATACAGACGATCTGCGTGTTTTGGTGGTTGCTTTTTCCGGGTGAGCTGGAGGTTTCAAGAGCACAAGGTCTCCCCTGGCAGCTCATGAAATGAGCTGACCAGATGTCACCTTGAGATCGACATGACAGGAAGGGTGGAGCTCCGGAGGCCAATCTCTCGGCCCAAAATTCCTGTTTTCGCTACTGAGAGCACTAGCCGCTCTGCCTCCAGACGAGCCACGGTGAGGGCGATTCTTCTCGGAACGCGGTGTGTAGACCGCTGGTCTGGTCTGCTCCCAACGATCATGAAGACTGGTGGCTGGTGGTCCAGATTGTGATCGGCTACAGTGGGTGGTTTCAGGGGTTGGATGGCACTGGCACCCAACATGACTCAGACTCTGATGCGGGTCCATATAAACCACCGACCCTGGGGATCACCTACTCTGAGGTTTCACTGAAACCACCCACCAGCGAATTCCAAACTCCAGCTGCAGCCAGCTGCAGGTGGTCTAAAGCTCACGAAGACTTTCAGCTGATCCAACCGATCGAGCTGGTGGAATATCCCACCAAGGCCGGTGGCATCACGCTCCTCGCCGGGAGGGTTCAGGGGGAGAAGGGTTCAGGCAGTTTGGGGGGCTCCAAGAGAGGTTGTGGACCGGTGGGTGTGGCTCCAAAAGGGTTCCTGAAAGGTAAGGGCTTTCATGGTACGAAATATGGCACGAAACACCTGAGGGTTGGTGTCCAGCAACACCACTTGAAAAAAAGATGGGAAAACGGCACCATCATGTGGGCGGTGGGTTAATTAATCAACCCCCCTTACTGATCAAACATCGGAAGGACTTTCTGGTTTCAATTGCCAACAGCTCGCAACATGCCGGCAACAGGACCCTGTTTTTTTTTCCCTCGGTTGAATGTCCATACTGAGCCGGCAAATCTCCGAACACCTGTGAGCCGGTGCCCTCCCCATCCCGGTCCGCAGACGGGGATGTTGGGCGCGGTCGGTCTTGAAGGAAGGACGGGTTTGGCTGTGATGGACTGGTTTGGGGCCCAGTTTCGCATGGCACAGAGTCAGGGCCTGAGGGTGTGTCCCATTAACCATAACAGTTGCAAAGATCATTGTCATTACTATAATTTATTTATGTAATGCAATGACCATGACCGAGCACTGTCACATACTATAGTACTAGTTGCAGGGAATGGCACGTCACATATCCAACAAGTAATCATTTCTGTTGTTGGTTGGTGTTTAGGGGCCAGTTTTCATTGAGCACGGCAGCATGTTTTTCATGGGCGCACCTCTATGAAACTCCAACTTTCGAATGCTTGACTGACAAAAGCAAACTGCCTTGGAGCACGGCAATGGATGATGATGGATGCACTTAGAGACGGAGTGCTCCACCAGCACTCGTCTCTATGGTTTGTTCTGCGTTTCGATCAGGGTAAAGTTTTGCCTAAGGCCATTGTATATATAGTATATATTTTTTCCATTTGTGTAAAATCTCCTTCTGGGGGATATCATTTCCCACTTCCTTCATCAAATCCAAGATGGGTGGCTTTGTGCCTCGGTGGCCGACGACCGCCCAGGCTCTTTGCTGGGATTCGCTCCAACCTTTCGGAAGGCAGGCTATTGCGACTGAAGCGTTGTGCGACTGACGGATGGAGTGAGGGTTCGACACACAAGGGATTCTCAGGTGGCACACAGGATGATCATAGAGTCTCAGGTGGCCCTGAGTGAGACTCAGTCCAAGACTATATCAAAGGAGGGATTAAGGATCGTCAATTCGGGCACTTGAGAAGGAATGAAGGAACTTCCTGGAGCTCACCGGAGCAAGACATATTCTTTGGACTTCGACGGAGTGGCACTGAAAATCCTTACGATCTCGATGTTTCCTCCCGTTGTCACATATCTTCCAGGGTGTGGCGTTCTTGACTGTTGGTATTGATAGATAGGCATTGAGAGATCCCAACTTTTGTTTTAAGTGCTGGTTGACACGGTTGATGGGTCAAAGCTTGATGACATCGAAGGCTGATCGGTGCTGGGTATGGCTCCACCAATTCGAAGCACGGGAGTTTGGTCAATGAGCCATTTAAGCATGGGCTTGGTGGCTCCATGGTTAGCCACAGCCGAGGCGGAGAATGACTCCCCATTGCTATGTGTTGTCACACATAGCACACCAAGTTCTGCAGAGAGAAGACGTGAGGAGGACCTTAGGTGACATCACCTTAGAACTTCTTAGAACCCAATTTCATTCCCTAAGTTGATGTGAAGGTGGTGTTCTAAGGAGGACGAAACGGTGACATCACTTAACTTAGGTGGGCACAAATGGGGTCCCTGAAGTCCAGTCCCTCGCATGAAGCGAGTGGCTCCGTGTTCTGTGTGAGGCATGCACCCCTATGACAGCATTCCGTGGCGGCGAAAATCGATCATGAAGACACTGAGATGGGAAGATAGGGAAGGAATTGGAGGATTGGTGGATGGGAGCCACACGGACCTTCCCCATGAACTGCAGAGGCGGGTGTTTTTGGTCAGCTTGAGGGCCTTGCACCAGAGATCGCCCGAGCAGGTGAACTGCAAGTGTTGTGACAGAAGGGATGACAAGACCAAGGGCCCCTCATGGTTAGGATATCCCCCGCAACAGACGGGTCTCTAAATAGACGTTCCACTCTCTAAATAGACGGTCCAGCAAAGCACCCAACGGTCCACCCCACGGGGGATCGATCACATCTTTAAGTGTTCCGGAACTGTTAGGACCCACAATTTCTCATGTTCTCTTTCTGGGCCTTCATCGCATTCGGCCCCATGCTTCCACCATTCCCATGCTTCCACGGACAGTCCAGCGAAGGCTTGGGGGTCTCATGGGGTCTCTCAATCTCTTATCACCAGCCTCCTCAGTTTCTGAACCAAAGCTTTCGAAAACACTGCGGGGCGCAAAAAGAGCCGGTGGGCGGCGGCCGTCGGCGTCCTCCGGCGCTCCAAGGATCCTGTCCTTGGACAACGCAGCGGAGCACCTGTCGAGCGATGGAGCCTCGAAAGGTGAAACAACACACGCGGCCGTGGCCGGGCGCGTGGTGGGGTGCGTTCGGCGGGTTTTGAGTGAAGAAGCGGGTTTTTGGAAGGCCAGCAATTGATCACAGATAACATCTACAAACCTCTTCGAGCCTGAGTGACCTCTGCCTGAATAGGATAAGACCATATTTTGGGTGGTTAGTGGTTCAACATAGAGTCAAGTGGGCAAGGTCGCGACTCTTGGTTTTGCGGATCGGGTCACTTGAGTATCCAACCCAAGTATCCCCACACATGCCAGGTTGGAGGAACGTCGTACGGCGTTCGTCGGTTTCTAAAACTTTTGCGAAGCAACGATGTTTGTGAAAGGTTGCAGTTTCTGGCTTTGGCTGCGATATGAACGATCCTTCCTCGAGGGACGTTTACTTTTTTCCCAGTGCTCCAGACTAGTCCTCCACGTCGGGGGTCGACCTCGCGGCAGCCGGGGTTTTGAGGATCTCGAGTGACCTTGGAAGAACACCTGAACCTCCACCGCGAGCTCACGCCCGCGGGGCGACGTGGCCTCGACGTCGCCTGGACCACGTGAGAGAAGAGGAAACAGACGAGCTGGGCGACCTCAAAACCGTCGGGAGGGGTCAAAACCAGGGAAGGTCCCTGGTTCTGGTCGTGGCCAGGGGGGACTGGTAGGTCTGTTTGGTTTTCACTCTGATAGGTTTGACCTGGCGTTTTGAGGTCAACCCGTCGGTCTGGCTTTGGACCCAGAGGCAAAAACGGGTTAAGCCGTTCTTCTTGGGGAGTCCTTAAAGCCTGGGACCCTGCTTGGCCTAATGGCTTGATTCATGAGTTCCCCATGTGAAGATGGATGAAATTCCTTCCACTCGTACCTTTGGGGCACGCTGATTTCAACACGTGACTACCATGTAGTCCAAACATGTCCAAAATGGTCCAAACAGTCGAAGACGACGGCGCTCGAAATGTTTTTCGATGCTGGAAGAGCAGGCCCGTTTGTTTCGGACTCATGGGCGCATCCTCTACCAAGCGAAGAATCATCGAACAAAAAGTATTGAAGAAGTTGATTGAGCTCATGAGCTGCCAATCCCTGGAACAAGCAGGCCAAGGCCATGGCTTGGCCATTGGCTTTGCCATTGGCTTTGTGGTTTATGGTGCTCCAAGAGCGGTACAGAGTTTACAGGGGGCGCAGGGTAATTCCAAAGAGTCCTTTTTCCTCATAGAACCTCATCGCACCCCTTGCATAGGTGCTGCCGATCTGCCGCTTCTGCTGCTTCTGCTGCTGGTTTGCTGTGCTGCTGGCCTCTGGATGTTTGAGCTGGGTTTTGTTCGCTCGATCTCAGTTGGCGTGCGCCCACAACACCACGAGCCTCAACACGGTGAATGGTCCGGACTCTATCGAGGGCGCCAAGCAGTTTATGGCTTTTGTGCCCACCGTTCCCGCGCAGTATCTGCCCTTTACAGGCAGCGGTGTCTGAGGACCTCGGTCTGACCTGGCAGTTGAAGATGCCTTGTTTGCCTTTGACTCGCCTCTGATGACAGGATTTACAGTCATACCCAACATCTTGAATTCCTCGGGGACTCTTTCTCAAAAATGACAAAGCTATGAGGGCGACCATCTTGCTAAAGGCCTTCAACTTTGCCAAGTTTCCATATTTTGCCTTTCTAGAGGTGTCAATTGACATGGTGTTCGGGCCTGCAGGCAGCGAGAACGATCAGACCTTCCTCTTTCTAGAAGCGGGAACGTATGCCGTGTGCTACTGCATCTCGGCTTTGATCATATCAGTTAGTTCTTAACGGGTGTTGGAACGGAACCCCGCTCTAGAATGTTAGATCCATGGGCCGACACGCCCAGAAACCATGACTCTAGCTTGAGAGGATTTTCGGGGTGGGTGTTGTCCACCAATTGCACTAATTATTGAGAAGGGCTTATAGACTGAGAAGGGCGAGTTGGGAGGGTCCCCCCCTCCAAATGACAGATTAATGCATCTACATCCATGTACATCCATTGTTCCCCAGCGAAACTGAGTCAGAGCCTGGCCGTTTTCAGCAGTTGACAGTTTCGAGTGATGAAATCTGTCCAAGAGATGGACCAAGGCTCCTTTCTGGGTTCGGATGATGTGTGCGAAGCAGAAACTGGCTACATTTGGGCTGCGACCATCATGCGGCTCATCTCTTCTTGGTCGGACGCTTTCGCGGATCCGGGCACGTTTTGGGCTCGGATGAGACCGGTGGAGAAGGTGCGAATCAACAGGAGGTTCTCCCTCCACACGGCGCTTTTCGAGTGCCTGTTGGTGACACTTTGCCCCTTCTGCCAGTAGTGAGGCGCTTTATGTGCGCTTCGAAAAGGAGGGGACCTCTTTCTGGTTTGAAGTTCCATGGATTTTTTTGGGGTGGGGCGGTAGAGATCAGTTCGGCGGTCGAAGGGGGGAGGTCCAGTTCGACTTCCCTGAGTTGGGAAGTGGCTGAAGGAGAAGACCGCGGGGAGTTTTGGGTTGCGAGGCCCAATTCCAGACACAGTCGCAGTCGAAGACCCGTTGGACCTGGTTTGGCAGGGTGAAATCCTTAGTAGGCCGATGATTGTTCGGGATTCAGGCTATGAAATCAATGGTGGTTGGAATTCCCCGGAACATCTCTGAAAACCAGCGCAGAACTCCACGTCCCCCCGCCACTCTGCGGTTCTCAGGGTGAAGGGCACGAAGAGGGACCAAAACGTGAAGCTTGGCCAGATTTGGGGGGTGGGGACTGGGTTTTCTTCTTCATGACGATTCTTCTGAATGATCACAGTGATTCAGCCATTGTCAGACCTTTGGCGGAGGGGGTTGGTCTCTCTCCAAGAAGCGCCTGGGTGGTGGAAAGTCTCGGGGCACCGGACCTCCTGGACCCCATCAAGCTGACTTGGACACATGTGAAGCAGGCCCCCCGGGCCCGGAGTGCCTGATGGCGACTATTCACCTTCGAGCCCGAACCGGGGTTCACCGCTTCGTCCGTGTGCCACCGAAGAACACCGCGGTGGGCCAGAGCCGCCCCCCAGTGGGTTGAGGCACTCTCAGGGTTGACTGGGCCCGAAAGGACCTTGGAGTCCGACCCTCCAGCGCTGAAGCTCGGTTCGGAGGTGGTCCAAGTCTCAGGGGGAGCAGCTTCAACGACCCAAACACGGAAGTCGAAAGACAAGAAAACCAGCCCCCAGCGAAGAAAAGGAAGCGCCATTTGAGGTACCTTAGATATATACAGCAATTCTCTTTATTAGTCGTCGACTGAGGGATTAACATCTCAAAAGCTGGGGCTTTGGATTGCACTGGGTTTTGCAATTGATCCCGGACCTTCCGTTGAGAACCCTAGCCTTCCGTTGGACCATTTTAAAAGAAAGCTTGATATGATTTGGTAGCGTAAAACCATATAAAACCCTTCACCACAAGGGTTTTCGGTCAGAACCGTAAAATTAATGGTGGCATATGGTGGCTGGAATCCTGGAGGTTCAGTATCGTTCATGAGGACTTGAGCTTTGGCTGCAGATCTATACCCCAGTTGAAACCTCACCACGCCACGCCACGCGTCCGTCTCGTCTCCCCAAGCCTCCGGACCCCGTGAGTGCCGACGGTGTGGCCGTCGTGTCCAGGATTTTGCCCACGAACTTCGTGGTGCGCATCGACTTGGAGGGCTGGGGCTTCACCCCACAGGAGGGGGGTGATGGTTTCTCTGTGGGAAAAGGGCAGGCTGGATGGATGGATGGATGTATGGATGGTAGGGGGTAGGGGGAATGGAAACAGCTAGGGAACAGGGCCAAAGAAGGGAAAGGACAGGAACATGAGAAAAAGAGAACAGGGTAAAAGAAAACGGGCAAGGAACCCAAAGGCAAAAGGAACAGGAAAGAGTGTGACTAAAGCAATGCTCTAGCAAGCCACAAGGCAGGCGAGGGAGGACAGATTAGAATAGAATTGAAGGGAAAAAGGAAAAACATCGTCTGAGAGAGCCAAACAATTTGGCGGTCTGGCCCAGGCCATCCATGGGACTGGCAGCCTGGCAGGTGAAACCATGACCCCAGGTCTGGCCCACCCACCCCTGGCCTCATCGGGAATCATATGCCAGTCCCATGGATGGGAAGGGAAGGGTGATTCAGAGAATCTTCATGGCGGTGAGTGGCAGGTCGGGCTCTTCTCCCAGTCGTTGCCTACGGTTGAGGGTTGGGGCTTAACATATGGTGCACAGTTCAGTTCTGTATCGGCACCATTTGGATTGATCGATTCGGAGGTGTACCGGTTCGTATGGAAGCGATTGATTCATTGAGAAGTATATAGGTGATTCTCAGGCGCCCGTTTCAGGCGCCACTCTTGGCCAATAGAGAAGAATGGCTGCACGCCGAGTCCCATCCCTGCATAAATTGTCAATTGGCGCCCTGGAAGATTCACATGGAACCTAAGCAAGCCGCTGGTGTGGAGGGGGCGAGTATTCCAACATATTCCAAAGGCCCGGTATTTTCAGGACAACTATATAAGTCAGTAAAAGACGCTCCCGCTCAAGGTGAGGGGGTTTTCACAGGTGTAGCCATGTGAATCTTCCGCAGGTGTAGCCATGCGGGAGGCCACACCCCATCCTCCCAGCGCTCCCAGTCGGAGGACTCAATCAGGCTGATCACCACCACGCAGACCTGCTATGAGAACGCCTACAGCCCCAAGGGTGGCATGGCAGGTTTTGTCCGGATGGGGGCCCCATGAAGACCCCACCATTTGACGGGCTCAAGAGGTCATGCTTTTCACCAGACTGCTTGGACCCTTGGACTTGTGGGAGGAGATTGGAGCAGAAACTGAGGCATTTTTGGCTCGGGATAGCGGTCTGTGTGAGACATGAGTGGCTGAGTGGCACAGTGGAAAAGGGCTGAAAGGTCATTGAGTGGCACAACAGGGCTGTGATAGAAGATTCATTAAGGTAGATGGTTGGTTGGTCCCTCAGCTATTCAACTAGTCTGGCCCTTCACTTATTCGTAGTTTCGGTGGGTCATGTGATTCCCTCTCCCCTCAGCCACTGCCACCGCGCACGCCTCTCAGGCGTTCTGAGCGGCTTTCGTTTGGGTTGTCCGGGGCTGGACGGGACCAGCTGTCGGCTGCCGGTGGTCGAGGAAGACATCAAGGCCGGGCTGAAGAAGTGGAGCGGGCCTGCTGAAGCATAGGCTCGCTCCAATGGATTTTTAAAGCCATAGATCAACCCTGACAGCTAGCTAGGTGATGGTTTCCGATATTTTAGATTTTCAACCCAACCACTTGGGGATGATTGATTGGACCCTCTGACTCATTTTTGTCAAGTGGGTTGAAAACACCAACCAGCTAGTCTTGCAATTTGCTTGGGCTGCCCGTGGCCTAGGTGTATCTCATCTCTTCAGAAAGGACTGGGTTGTTGATCGAGAGCATCACCATCCAGGAGACGAAGTCCATCTTACATTTCACTGGGGATGTAACAGCGGACGCTTGGGAGAAGTCAGGCTCCGCAGTCTGACCCTGCATTTCTCGGCGCGATATGAGCACCAAGAGAAGGGTTCCATCATACTCCCTTATGCGTCGCATGTTTCAAAATCCGGCTCCTTCTAAGAAAGAGAGGGAGAGAGAGAGAGAGAGAGCGCGCGCGCGAGGCGAGATATAGAGAGTTGGACGTGATTCAAGGGTAAGTCCTCTCTTTCTCCATGTGCCGCTGCACCATCCAGATCACCGAGGAAGTCTTGGACGGGGATCAGATCACCCTGGATGAGTCGACGATCCTCCTGGACGGCCGTGGGCAGTTGTCATGGACGGATCACGAGAGGCTTCCTCATGCCAAAGCGCCGGATCGCGATGGGCGTGAGCTGGAAGGTCTACCCTTAGCAGATTCACATGGACCCTGAGTCTAGAATCTGCCAGAAGGGTCTAGCGGTCCATGGTTTTCGATGCTGGAAGGTACCCAATGATGTAGGATCGTGTGCTTTGCAGACCTCTTCAGAGGTCTGACCAAGTCCGACGGTGGGCTGGATACATCCACCATTCTACATGACCCAAACGGAGGGCGACATGTTCAGACCGCACCCCCCCCAGAACAGGCGAGAACTGCCGACATGGTAGATGCGCGGACTGCTGTACACTCCCTGAAAGAATCATGGTGATGTGGAGTGAATGCCACCTGTTTTTGGTATTTGGATCATGGTCATCCACTACCGAGGGCATGCCATTCACTACCGATTTCAGGGAATGGTACGCACTTTGTTGTGTGGAGGCCATCGTTGGTTGGAGGCCATCACTAGTAGGTTGGAGGCCATCGCTACTTAGGCCATCGCTAGTAGGTTGGAGGCCATCGCTCTTAGGTTGGAGGCCATCGCCAGTAGGTTGGAGGCCATCGCCAGTAGGTTGGAGGCCATCACTAGGCGAGACTCCCAAAAGAACGGTCAAGACTTGGGTGAGACCTGATGGGGCGTCGGCGTCTGGGTGTTTTTCTTGAGCCAAGCACTCAAAAAGAGTGGGAGGAGGACAAAGACTTCATTGGTTGTGTTTCTTCCCCCCTTCTCTTGAAGGTTCACATCCAAATGAGCTCTGAAGCTTCGTGACCATCTAGTCGCCTTTCTTGCTTCGTGTGGGAGAGTGCCAGGTTCACTGCCCATGTTCCATGCGAGGCATATTATCTCCCAACTCTCCGGGTTCTATGCCTTCGCCGATGAGCCGCAAACCACGCGGATGCTGTGGAACCGCGTCTCCCACGTGCCGGGGCAGCCGAAGCAGTTGAGCATCCCTCTGGGCTGGCGTGAGGGCCACCTGGCGGGGTTGGTGGACCAGTTGAGGCAGGTGGACGAAAAGACGCCCTTGAGAAGCCTCTTTTGGAACGCGGAACGCGGCCTCGCGGAATCCAGACCACTAAGCTGCATTCGTTTGTGCTCTTGGTTGACTCACAGTGTTCTTCACCAGCACTTGCTGGCTGTATTTATATGCAGGCTTTCTGCAGTGTTCCGACATTATGGGCCAGGTGGTAAGTAGAAGGGCTATATAGATTTCTCAGTGGCTGGGAGTCTGGGAGGAGCAAGAATCACTACATAGAACGGACGGCAGGATCTGCTGGTCGTCGTTTTTTTTGGACCTCACCTGACCTCAGTCTGGTCAGTATGCGGAAGCAACTACAACAGAATCAGACGACACAATTCGATTGGAATGCTCTGAACATCTACTTAGAGAGAGAGAGAGAGCTCTGTGGTACGAACTGTGACGCACTGCAAACCCCACAGATGTACACCCTGGTTCCGAGACCCAGCTGATGGAAGCGTTTTTGGCCCGACGAGTGGAAGACGATTTTCCTCCACCCGGGCGTGGTTTTGGGGGTCCATCGGGGTCTCGGAACCAGGTGAGAGGCCCGACGTCACGTTCCTGAACGGCCAAGGTGCCATTGGAGTAGATGGGTGCCAGGGAGAGGGGGGTTGGTGAAGTGGACGAGTCTAGGGGACTTATTGACGCCAGAATCCGCCCTTTTGCTAACATGACTTTGTCAATTTTGCCTTTTAGATCCTTTTAGAATTGAGCATGTTGAGCACCCCAAATTAGGAAAGCTGCTTCAATCTTCACGAGGCGTTGCAATCAATCAAGTCGCATGAATTGTCAACCAATCTTGGTAGCTACTGTACATGGATCAGTCTTGGTGTAACCTTGGTAGTTACACAAAGGGATCGGTCTCAGTCAGTCTTGATTGACGGCGTCTTGATTGGACCCATATATATATATAGATTGTGTATGTCCACTCAGTTTTTAAATGTCACTTTGACAACTGGAGAGTTTCGTCCCGCGGGCAGAGCGTTGACGAAACCCGATTCACCAGATCGATGAAAGAGGTGTGTGGAGGAAGAACATCGAGATCAGCGGTTTCTTCAACATTGAAGCTGGTACAGGGCGATGCCATGCTTTGCTTGCTTTATTTGATTTGAGACGAGTGAAACCGGCCATGGCCGGACGTCTGAATGCGGTCCAAAAAACAGCTTGCAAGTTCTCACCTTCATACAGGATCCATTAGGCATCAAACCTTCATCAGCAGGTGCATAATTACAGTTGTTTAACACATCCTTAATCATCCCCATCCCAGGGCATCCAGTTACCACTATAGACTATAGACCATTAAGACTAACACCATAGACCTAGAATAGCTGGTTCCTTATACAGTGGTTTGCCTGGGATGCACTGGGCATATGAACTTCTCTTCATCATCCCCTTAACCCCAAAAGCTCCACGGAAGCCGCCGTCTCGCGCCCGGGAACCTGCGGTTTCCAGCGGCTCGGCTCGCTCCGGTTGGGGCCGGAAAGCCGCAGGGGCATGGCATCGGCGGAACCGCCTGGAGACCGAGGAGGAGATTTGGGCCGACCAGGCGCGGCGCGGTGCCGCGGATGGTCGGGCGTGCGAAGTCAGCAGAAGACGAAGACGCCGAGTCAAGGTCACCAGCAGTCACCATGGGTTTGGGTGTTGTTTTTTGTTGGGGTCCCGCTGGGGTGGAGAGCTTTGAAAGGGAAGACTGCGCCAACTTTCCACAGGATTCCTTGGATGTTCTTGGCAAAAAAAAATAGCGATGGGAGAATCCCAGGGACTACCTCGGTTCGATGAGCTTGTGTTTGTCTCTCTCTCTCTCTCTCTCTCGCCCACAACCCTAAAGGAGACACGGAATCTTCGCTCTACCCGACAGTCCTGAACGGGGTGCCTACATGTGCCTACTATATTCTTATATATCCCACACACACACCTATATATATATATAACAATAACTATAACAATCACATAGCATAAATAATTAATAAAACTGTGTCGAGCTTTGGGCAGGTTTGGGTGCACAGTCTTCATTACATTTGGTACACTGTCCATTTTGGCTCAAGCCAAAAGTGGGACAGTGGAGTTTCTGTTCTGCTAATTTTTGCGGTGTGTGCTGTGGATGACTTCACAGCCTATCGTCGGTGTGAATGTCGCCATGTTCACGGCTGCTGAGGTGCTTTCGTCCGCCGCGTTCATCGAGTTCCGTTGCCAGGTCGATGCCCTTTTGGCCCGGGGGGACCGGGCAGGCGCGATGCGGCTTTGGAGCTCGGTGGTTCTCTTCGAGCACATGCCTCCGTCTTCACGCCCGGGGGACGGGCCAGCTGGTTTCCCCCCTATGCGGATCTCAGTGTGTCCTAAGAGTGCCTGCCCACGGTGCGATCAGGGGCGAGGGGGCTATGTTTTCCCGTGGGTCGGGATTTGGAACCGGCGCGGGACGATCGTGCCATCCGGGTTCACTCCTCAGCATGCCTGGGATAGGCATGCTCTGTTGGACGCCAACATGGACCTCCTCTTGTTGCAGCCCTACCGTACCCCGTACTCTGCCGAAAATTTTGTGCCCTCCTACCTGTGGGAGTTCCAGCAGAAGGTTCCTGGGGATTTTGACCTCTTGCCCCTGCAAACATTTCAATCTGAAGTTCTCTATTATATGCGACACTGGATCCTGGGATCACCACATGGGTTGTGGTCCAACCCCTTTCGTGCCCCACTGCCAGATCTTGAGCATCTGCCGCGCCACCTGGAAGCTCTTCACCCGAAGATTCGTGCCCATCGAGCCCTTCGTGGATGGTTGGGGTCCTCAATCAACGGAGAGTCGGAGTTTCCTCCAGCGTGTTGCGGCTGTGGTGATCCCACTTATCGGCAGTGCCTTGGTTGTATCAAAGGAGTGTGTTCCGCCTGTTTCCCAGTGCTCCAAATCTGTCCGGTCTGCCGCGAACTTTCGTCGTCTGATGACGATAGTGGGTAGTTCAGCGGGTGCGCAAGCCATGGTGTACCGTGCACAAGTCGCTGGAGCGGTGGACGCTCCGCCGGACGAACCGGCTCCGTCCTCTGGTTGGCGAGCCGAAGACAGCCTTGCTAGGGTGGCAGGGGCCCGTGCCATCACATGGCGCCGGGAACGGGGCTATGAGAAAGATGAGGACTTCGCCTTTGCCTTCTCTACCTGGGAGGAAGCTGTGGCCGTGGGAGGCCATTTCTTGGCGGACGCTTGGCTCGCAGTCCGGGTTGCCCAGCAGGATGAGCTTCTCCCGGCGGCGGCGCGCTTGCTTGGGGGGGTCCCCTGCTGCCGGATACACGTCCTCCACTGGTTCGTAAGCGGAAGGAAGTTCCACTTGAGGCGGGGGTACGCCTTCATGAGCGGGTGCAGGATCAGCCCGAGTCCATACAGCGCCAAGTGTTGGCCCTGCAGAAGGTGTTCCTGACCGTGGGGGCGTTGAAGCCGGTTGGCCTATTGACTGAGGCCCTGAAGCGGGATTGGCAGGCCTCCGTCCTTCGCTTGGCCCAGACCAAAGTGGCGGAGTCTGAGTCGGTGACGATTCAGAATGCTCTCCGCACCTATGGGGAGCTCCACGCCTTTTTGCTCCACCGCGGGAGGTCGTTCCCTCCGGACTTTGTGGACATGGACAACTTCCTGCATCAGGGGACGATGGCCCCTACCCGCGCGCTCAATGCGCTTCGTTGGCTGTGCAAGCATTCTGGAGCTCCTTGGGAAGTGGCCCGGCTTCGTATCTCTCCGGAGCTGAAGAAGAAGGCCACTTCTACGAAGAGCCAAGCCCTTGTTGTGGAGCCTGGCATGCTGCAGCTGTTGGAGGAACGCATTGAGAGCATGTGCCGTGGGGGGGACCCGCGTTGGACATGTCTTCTCGGCTCTTGGCTGGTGGCTACAGGTTGCTTGCGATACCAGCATCTTCGCCGCTCAACCGTTCGTCGCATCAGCCCACTCGTGTTCCACGGCCACTGTCGCAAAGGCAAGCAGCGTCATGCTCGTGGCGGCTTTGATTGGTGTGCTCCAGTCGAGTTTGCCTCCACCTTCAACTGTACCGTGGAGTGGCTCAAAGCCTGGAAGGCTCTTTCTCCGGTGGCCCAGAAGAGTGCAGGGATCTGCTTTGACGGGCGTGGGACGCCTTGGAACATCGCTGAGGTTCAGCACCTATGCCAGTCGATCTTTGCCGAGTTCCTGGACAATACAGAGCAGTTGACCACCTACTCTTGGCGACGAATGCTTCCCACAGTGGGCCATATTCTGAATTTGTCGTCGTCTGATCTTTGCTCCCTCGGCGATTGGCAGGACAAATCCAAAGAGCCGGCTGAAGCAGGGATGGCATTGCACTATTCGTCAGCTCGGTATGCCCAGTCCCTTCGCAACAAGATCCTGGCCACTTCAGTGGCCCACAGCTGTGAGGGTCACAGCTTTTGGGAGGAGGTGCTTCCTGCCGATTTGGATGGTTTCCGCGAAGTGGCCAAAGACGCGCTTGCCATGGCCATCGCGAAGGACAAGGAGACGAGGTACGCGGCTCAGCCAACCAAGGAGTCGCTGAAGACGCACCTCCAATTCTCCAGGGCCCGAGCCGCTAAGGCAGCGGCAAACAAAATTCGAGGAAGCACCTCGCGCCAGACGGTATCCATGCCGGATGCCATCCGAGGCCGCGTGCTGACGGCTTTCTTGAAGAATGGGCGTCGCCTTTGCGGGGCTTTCCAGATGCCCGAGGGGTGCGCAGAAGGAGAGGAGGTTTGCGGGAACGCTCACCTCTGCGCGGTTCTTTTGGCCCGGGGGCGGGCTTGTGGCGGGAGCCACGGTGCATTTATTTGCACCGAAAAGAAGTACTTGCCGGCCGAGGCGCCAGTTCCAGTTCGTGTGGCGGCGGCATCAGCTTCTTCTACTACGTCCTCAAAGGCCAAACCCTCCTCGAGAGCCAAACGCCGGCGAGCGGAATCGCCCCAGCCCAGTGCTCGGCCTGATGCAGCAGAGGCCCTCTCTCCAAGGCCCAAGACGCCTCCGAAGGCACCTCCATCCAAGGCGGTTCCGCCCAAGTTGATTGCAACGTCGGCCAAGAAGAAGCCGCGAGGTCCGCGGGTTCCCTCGCCTCCACCGCTGGCCAGAACACCTCCTTGGCGACAGTCCTCAGACCCAGCACCGAGCACCCTGCCTATTCCAGCAGTGTCGCCAGGACCTCAGCAATCTCACTGGGACCGGTTGGCCACCTCCGAAGGGCGTGACACTCTCGCCCCAACCCTGATCATGACAACTCGGTCAGGTGGCCGGCTGTGGCTCTCCAGTATTCCGATCGCTGAGACAGTGCAACATTTCCCGAAGGCTCACCTCCAGATCGCTTGTCTACCACAATACCCCGAGGGTCGGGGGGGCGTGTCGTTGCCGGAGGCATGCGTCATGAAGGTGCAGATGGGCAGCAAGCGCATGGATCAGGAGTTCAAAGCGGCATGGCCTCTCATCCACCAGAGCCTTCACTGTGGTGATTCAGTGCTTGTGCATTGTATGGCGGGCAAGCATCGGGCTCCTGCCTGCACAGCCCTCATCTATGCGCTCATGATGGGCACCTCCGTGGATGAAGCAGCCGAGAAGATCACCAAGATGCGGCCTTGTGTGGAGTTCCACAAGTTCTGCAGGGATCGCACGGCGGCACAGTGGCTTTATACGACGAGGCGCACTCTGTCGTTGCCACCCGTACACCCAAAGCCTGCTGGCTATCTTGCTTCTGAACGTTCCAACATCCACCTGTGCACAGAGGGCCGCATCGCTCTGTGCCACTTCAAGCAAGGCGAAGCTCGAGTTCAGCAACGGCTCAAAGACGCCCACTTCTGCAGCAGCTTCATGGAAGCAAGTACGTTTGCCCGTCCGGTGTGCGGACCTTGCTGGAGCAAAGCCCCAGCTTCCTGGCAAGCGCGACACTGAGCTGCTGAGCAGCTGTCCAGCCTAGTGATCGCCGGACGGTTGCGCCCCATAAGAGCAGGCGGCCTCCGTAGATGCCCCTTTTTGTAGCCTACGTCACGTGTAGACTACCGAGGCGACCGGAGAGCGCGCCACCAGCGGAAAGAAACCTGAGTGTCAGTGACTCTTCTGCTGTGCAGTTTGCCATTTGGGGGGTCATCCCCAAGTCAGCAGGAGTGCTGTGTGGCCCGGAGGTTCCAGGCCTTTGACACTAGAGCGTAACGGCGACGCAGCGTCCATGATTTGAGTTTCATTTTCGTTCATGTGCACCTAGGACCTCCGCCTCGCCAGCTCCTTTTGGCCGACAGAGGCGAGGTGGGTCCTCGTGATACCACTTTGTGAGGTGGGTCCTCACTTTCCGTAGGGAGGGTCCCTGTGTCCCCACATGGCGTCTAGCTTGCAACTCGTGCCGAGTGACGGTGCGGATGCTGCGGCTACTTTCCGCCAGTTGGGGATTAACTTCAGCATAGCTGAAGCCGTGACCGATGCCTTGGTCAAAGCCCGGCTCCAGAACCTGGAGGAGTTTCGCTTCTTTTTCGAGAGTGAGGACAAGGTCCAACCCTGGTTGGCCAAACTCTCCCTGGGCGAGGATGCCGGTCTTCAGGGGGCGAGGGTTCGTC